AGAAAAACTGCGTCAGAAAAACGCGTCTTGACTCCGGTTCGAAGGACCACGCGTTGGGAACGTTGTGGGATTACACATCCAAAGACAATTGAAGAGAACAGAATAACCGTAGCTTCGTTAAACGAACTATCCAGTCCAATACGATCTACCATTGTCTATAAACCGAACTCACTTCTTCCCTGCCAGCTTGATGAAGAAATGCGAAATCTTGCAAACATTGATGAGTCTTGAAACCATCAAAAATCACTTTGTCATAATTGATAAACAAGAAGCAATGTTCTATCAAGAAAAGGGAATACAGTATTAAGTGGTCCATTTTGAAACGAGCAGCAGCGTATGTACCTGGCAGTAGACGTTGTAATCTGTGCATAGAAGAGAAATTAGAAATCATGAAATCACATAAAACCAATCTGTTGAACAAAAGATCCGAGTTCTTCGCGAAATGTCGCCATCGAGAAAAATTCAGCGCCGGGAAATTCGAACGCGCGCGAACAAACAAGTTAATGCGTCAGCGAACGGTTGATGATGATGCAATCACGTAATCAGTAACAAAATCGTGAACAAAATCGCCTGATGATCGTCTAGAAAGGACGTGAAACTCAGAGTAGCGATATTTAATTTTAAGATATAGACAATCTAATAAGCTCTGCATGCTATACTTTTAGTATTGAGCACTTTATATATCTAGACAACCAAAACAAATTGAATTACAATTGCACCTGGTTCTCAGTTGTGCACTCTAGTTTGTGTGGATATACACGAAAAAGTTGAAAACGTTGTTCAACGAATGAGGTGGAAAGCGCATTTCTTTTTGAACGAAAACAAACCAACAAAATCAGAGAACAAGTTTGGTTTGCCATCAAGAAATTACGCTACGCCAATAAGTGAAATGAAAGCATTTGAAGAAGATCTGGTTAAATTAACATCAAACATAACGTTCAGAAAGGTAAACGATTCTTTTTTAAATAAAATCCACGAAGATCTTAAAAAAGTACATTCATCAAAAAACGTTTTTGTTTATGCTGATAAATCAACCAATGTTTATGAAACCTCTCCTGATAATTACAACAAACTACTTATGGAAAACATCACAAAAACGTACAAACTTGGAAACGAAAATGTAACAGATCATATTAATGATGAACTGAGAAATATAGCTAGCAATCTCTCCATTGGTAACCGAGTAGACACTATGGCTAAACGAAGCGCATACATAACGTTAAAAGATCACAAAGAAAACTTTGAATCTAACCCGAAGTTCCGTCTTATTAATCCTGCCAAGAGCGAACTTGGAAAAGTGAGCAAAATTATCCTGGACGACATAAATGCTAGAATAAACTCTGCAATAAAAGTCAACCAGTGGCAAAATTCTCATTCTGTTATAGACTGGTTTCAATCTGTGAACAACAAATCAAACCACATGTTTCTTTCATTCGACATCGTTGAATTTTATCCTTCAATAACAGAAGATCTTCTCGACAAAGTCATTGCCTGGGCCTAGACCATCATAACCATTCCCGATAATCACATATCTATCATCAAACATGCTCGAAAGTCCTTGCTCTTCAACCAAGAAACACCATGGGTTAAGCGAAACAACGATACAATGTTTGATGTTACGATGGGCAGCTTTGACGGCGCGGAAATATGCAACCTGGTCGGTCTTTTCATCTTAAATAAACTGGCAGCCAAATTTGGAAATGAATCTGTTGGATTGTATCGGGATGACGGTTTAGCTCTGTTAAAGGGCAGAAGCGCCAGAGCGGGTGACAAAGCAAGAAACGAGTTACATGCTTTATTTAATGACCTCGGGTTGAAAATAACTGCGGACGTCAACCACCATATTGTCAACTTCTTAGACGTAACGCTAGACCTGAAAAGTGGGACATTTTCACCTTATAGAAAGCCGAACAGCAAGCCACTTTACGTCAACAGTTGCTCTAATCATCCACCTTCCATAATCAAGCATATCCCTACATCCATTAACAAACGTATCTCCTCACTATCTGCTGACCAATCAACTTTTAATTCTGCTGCACCTCCCTACCAGAATGCGCTCAAACATAGCAATTATGATGTCAGGTTGCAATATTCGACCGGTAATAATTCTACAAGCTCACCGTCTAGAAAACGCCGTAGGAACATCATCTGGTTCAACCACCCATTCAGCAAAACAGTCAGACCAAATGTCGCTCAAACTTTCCTTCAACTCATCGACAAGCATTTTCCACCCAAAAACCCACTCCACAAGATCTTCAATAAGAACAATATCAAAGTCAGTTACTCGTGTATGGACAATGTAAAGAGCAACATAACACGCCACAACCACCGCCTCCTAACAAAAACCTCTACAGTCCCTGAACCCAAAGAATGTGACTGCAGGAAATCTAACGTGTGTCCACTGAATGAAAAGTGTTTGACCAGCAACGTAGTTTATAAGGCAGAAATAACAACGCCCCATGATGGAACGACCAAAGAATACATTGGAATGACTTCCACGGAGTTCAAGGTTAGATACAGAAATCACAAAAAGTCGTTAATAAGCCTGCGTACTCGTCTGACACAGAACTTTCCAAATACGTATGGGATTTGAAGGACAAGAAAAGGGAATACAGTATTAAGTGGTCCATTTTGAAACGAGCAGCAGCGTATGTACCTGGCGGTAGGCGTTGTAATTTGTGCATAGAAGAGAAATTAGAAATCATGAAATCACATAAAACCAATCTGTTGAACAAATGATCCGAGTTCTTCGCGAAATGTCGCCATCGAGAAAATTCAGCGCCGGGAAATTTGAACGCTATAAATATATATATATATATAGATTGTCTATATCTTAAAATTAAATATCGCTACTCTGAGTTTCACGTCCTTTCTAGACCATCATCAGGCGATTTTGTTCACGATTTTGTTACTGATTACGTGATTGTATCATCATCAACCGTTCGCTGACGCGTTAACTTGTTTGTTCGCGCGCGTTCAAATTTCCCGGCGCTGAATTTTTCTCGATGGCGACATTTCGCGAAGAACTCGGATAATTTGTTCAACAGATTGGTTTTATGTGATTTCATGATTTCTAATTTCTCTTCTATGCACAAATTACAACGCCTACCGCCAGGTACATACGCTGCTGCTCGTTTCAAAATGGACCACTTAATACTGTATTCCCTTTTCTTGTCCTTCAAATCCCATACGTATTTGGAAAGTTCTGTGTCAGACGAGTACGCAGGCTTATTAACGACTTTTTGTGATTTCTGTATCTAACCTTGAACTCCGTGGAAGTCATTCCAATGTATTCTTTGGTCGTTCCATCATTTGGGCGTTCCATCATGGCAGGAATGATTCTCATGGCCATAGTGCAAAGTACTGTATGTATGCACTGATGGAACAACACCTGGAAGTAATTGTTGATGTTGAAGTTGTAGACAAACGAGAAACAGGAGGAGTTTCTACAAACATGGAAGTGTTTGGATTAAAGAAGATCCTGGAAAGAATTGTTGGCCAAATCATGGTCTCTGAGATTGTAACCGATGCATCAGCAGCAGTTATTGCCCTAGTACGGAAAATGAAAGGTACAGGTACTGTAAAGTATAGAGCAAGCAACTGATGTGGGACTGTGAATTTATATTATTTGGTTGATAATGAAATGTGTAATGTTGCTGCAAGTTTTTACCAATAATTTTCAGTATCACCATGCGAGTGCTCGAAAAGACTTTTTAAGAAGCATGTTATGATCAGGGCTCAAACTAGAGAAAAAATATGGCCTGCCAGTCTAAATCTTTTTGCCAGGTGAAATAAATGCCAACCTGCCATTTTTATTCATTGCCATTGCACTACCAAAATGGTGATGTCTCATCTACATACATATATATATATATACATATATATATACATATATATATATATATATATATATATATATATGCATTTTTTAATATTTTTAAACTTGTCTATTTACTACAGTGAACTTTGATTTACATTTCAAATATAAACGTATTTAGTCAACCAAATGATCTATTATATATGAGTTGTGGTAAGCAAATGAAATGAAATATATAGATCTATAGAATTTCACCTGCTATTTTTTTTTTTACTTTTCTTGGCAGTTCAAATCTGCTTTTGGCCATTGACAGCCTGCTATTTTGAGCCCTGATTATGATGTTGAAAAATTTAGCCATAAAAGTACCATGAAATTCTAATAGCACAATTTGTTTTGTCTTGTTTTCCCAGACAAGTACCCAGACGATTTTTCCCATCTATTTCACGCCTTGGACATTTGGCACAAGTCAGTCAAACTTACCAAGAAACTTGCTAAGGTAAAAATTGGTTGTAAATTTGCTGGTGCAAATCTTAAAACAGCTTGCAGCTTATGATGTTACCACGTCAGATGTGCTGGGAGGCCCCTCATTGAGCTATCAATAGTACAAATGTACAAAAGTACATTTCAGTAAAAAGTTTCTGTCATTTTTTATTTCAACATAATTATTTTAGGCTGCCAAAGTTAAAGGGTGTGAAACAGTGAGCCAGTGGTCTGAACCAATCAGGAACCATTTTTGGTTTGTTTGTCAGAATTCTAATGGGGACGAAGAGAAACTTAAGGTTACTCTTGTTTTATTTGGTATCTTTGTTATCTGATAAGATTTCTTTTTGGACTTAATTTGACAACATACAAGTTGCTTGTGATGTTACGCTGAGTGTATATACACACTCAGAGTAACATCACAAGCATCTTATTCACCTGAGTACACTACACCATCACAGCAAATAACATACAAGTTATTTACATGCAACTATTATATTCCATTTAATTAAGGATGACTGGTTCGGAGTGCTACATCACATTGCAGGTGAACATGAGTGGATAGATGGAGAGTGCCAGCATGGTCCTTTAGTAGCAAGTGAAACAGAAAAGACATACCTGGATAAGAATAGCAAAGCAATGGAAGCTGTCCGTAAGGTGATACTTGACCAGCGATTTGTCAAGAGCTTGTACCATTATTGAAAAAATAGAGGCAGATGCGCGGCCAGGATGAAACATAATAATAAAATAGACGTTCTCTGACCAAAAATATATATTTATTACAAGCTTTCGGCTACCAATCTGTAGCCTTCAACGGGTATGAGTGTATGAAATATGAAACTATAGTCTATTA